GATGCTGTTAATATGGCGTTTGCTTCTGCTGTTAAATAGAGCTGTTATCTGGTAAACGAGAAGATATTCTTCGCGATCCAATGACAGTGGGCGCCACCATCCTTGGACCCATCTGTAAATATAGATTTGTATGTACTATATTTAGTTTTTAATTGATGAATTGTTTGCATTGTAATTCATTAGTTTCATTTTTTAAACTTTGTCAGTGTTAGGTCAACTTCTGGTCTCAACAATTTTCAGGGAGGAGAGGAAAGAAAACGAGTAGGAGATATATTTTCCAGCTCAATGCCAGCAGCAGAAAGGAAAGGTTTGTCTCTTAGTCCCAAAGGCGGAGCAGGAGGATTAAAAACACAGGGTTAGACTCGTTTGAATACAGTTGGACAATTTTGTTTGTTTGTAGTATATGTAGTATATGTGTGTGTGTGTGTGTGTGTGTGTACATGTGCAGAAATCATGTGTGTGTGTATGTGTGTGAGAATGTGTGTACAGTAGTACATATATAAGAAACAGTTTCTGAAATAATCACACGACACGGAACATCATTTGATTTATGCAGGTGTATATAGATTTATAAAATATGAGTCCAGATATTTCTTGAGAATCTCCTTACAATGAAAGCTGAGTATCGTCATAGTACACACATATAAGAAAAAGTTTCTGAAATACAATAGCCAGTCCACGTGTTTTGACGTCACTAGAAACAATGGTGGTGGACGTGTATGCATTATGGTTTCAGTGCACAAATACATACTGAGTTACACTGAGAAAGTTACAAAATTATACTTTGAATTAACCTTAGGTTTCTCACTATGAAGCTTCCTCTCTCACTGAGTATACCATTCCACGCTATGAAGCTTCTTCTCTCACTGTATGTGCCAGTCCACACTATGATGCTTCCTCCCTCACTGTATATACCAGTCCACAATATGATGCTTCCTCCCTCACTGTATATACCAGTCCACACTATGATGCTTCCTCTCTCACTGTATATACCAGTCCACACTATGATGTTTCCTCCCTCACTGTATATACCAGTCCACAATATGATGCTTCCTCCCTCACTGTATATACCAGTCCACACTATGATGCTTCCTCTCACATGTATATACCAGTCCACACTATGATGCTTCCTCCCTCACTGTATATACCAGTCCACTCTATGATGCTTCCTCCCTCACTGTATATACCAGTCCACACTATGATGCTTCCTCTCTCACTGTATATACCAGTCCACACTATGATGCTTCCTCCCTCACTGTATATACCAGTCCACACTATGATGCTTCCTCCCTCACTGTATATACCAGTCCACACTATGATGCTTCCTCCCTCACTGTATATACCAGTCCACACCATGATGCTTCCTCCCTCACTGTATATACCAGTCCACACTATGATGCTTCCTCCCTCACTGTATATACCAGACCACACCATGATGCTTCCTCTCTCACTGTATATACCAGTCCACACTATGATGCTTCCTCCCTCACTGTATATACCAGTCCACACTATGATGCTTCCTCCCTCACTGTATATACCAGTCCACACTATGATGCTTCCTCCCTCACTGTATATACCAGTCCACACTATGATGCTTCCTCTCTCACTGTATATACCAGTCCACACTATGATGCTTCCTCCTCTCACTGTATATACCAGTCCACACTATGATGCTTCCCTCTCTCACTGTATATACCAGTCCACACTATGATGCTTCCTCTCTCACTGTATATACCAGTCCACACTATGATGCTTCCTCTCTCACTGTATATACCAGTCCACACTATGATGCTTCCTCTCTCACTGTATATACCAGTCCACACTATGATGCTTCCTCTCTCACTGTATATACCAGTCCACACTATGATGCTTCCTCCCTCACTGTATATACCAGTCCACACTATGATGCTTCCTCCTCTCTCACTGTATATACCAGTCCACACTATGATGCTTCCTCCCTCACTGTATATACCAGTCCACACTATGATGCTTCCTCCCTCACTGTATATACCAGTCCACACTATGATGCTTCCTCTCTCACTGTATATACCAGTCCACACTATGATGCTTCCTCTCTCACTGTATATACCAGTCCACACTATGATGCTTCCTCCCTCACTGTATATACCAGTCCACACTATGATGCTTCCTCTCTCACTGTATATACCAGTCCACACTATGATGCTTCCTCTCTCACTGTATATACCAGTCCACACTATGATGCTTCCTCTCTCACTGTATATACCAGTCCACACTATGATGCTTCCTCCCTCACTGTATATACCAGTCCACACTATGATGCTTCCTCTCTCACTGTATATACCAGTCCACACTATGATGCTTCCTCCCTCACTGTATATATCCAGTCCACACTATGATGCTTCCTCCCTCACTGTATATACCAGTCCACACTATGATGCTTCCTCCCTCACTGTATATACCAGTCCACACTATGATGCTTCCTCTCCTCACTGTATATACCAGTCCACACTATGATGCTTCCTCCCTCACTGTATATACCAGTCCACACTATGATGCTTCCTCCTCTCACTGTATATACCAGTCCACACTATGATGCTTCCTCTCCTCACTGTATATACCAGTCCACACTATGATGCTTCCTCCCTCACTGTATATACCAGTCCACACTATGATGCTTCCTCCCTCACTGTATATACCAGTCCACACTATGATGCTTCCTCCCTCACTGTATATACCAGTCCACACTATGATGCTTCCTCCTCACTGTATATACCAGTCCACACTATGTAAATGCGTTGGCTCGTCACGCCGAAGACCCCGGCGTAAAACCAAACTTAGTCAGTCAGTCCTCTCTCACTGTATATACCAGTCCACACTATGACACTTCCTCTCTCACTGTGTATACCAGACCCCACTGTGGTGCTTCCTCTCTCACTGTATACCAGACCCCACTATGGTGCTTCCTCTCTCACTGTATGTTTCAGTCCACACTATGACGCTTCCTCTCTCACTGCATACCAGTCCACTCTAGGTTACACTACACTGAATCAGTATCGCTTGCTCGCTGAGCCGGTCCGTCAAGTCAAGAGAGACAGAGACATGTGACAGCTGTGATTGGATGAAATAGTGTAAGATGTTTGTTTTTTAAAGCATATCCAACCAGTAATTAAAACTGACCACAATTTTAAGTATTCAGTGCTGTCATTTTCATCACCATGACTTATGCTTATTGTGTGAACAGATATTTTCCATTAGGTGACATTTGGTGCGGAACTGGGGTTGATGTGTTCCGCTTCCTGTCCTCGCAAAACGAGCCGGACAAGTTGGCCTGATATTGTGTTTTATTGTAGTTTAAAGGCCAGAGTGTACCCATGCGTACATGGAATGGCTGTTGATAGCTTGTCTATTTTTAAAACAAATTATAAGGTTACTATAGAAGTCTATGCGAAAACATTTGGTGGTGTGTAATCTGTACGATGCTTCCCGATGGTATGATTATGTTTGATTTTTGAGCACTAACAATTGAGCAGTGATCTAGAAGAAACATTTCAGTAGTAAACAACAGTGACAGTTCTGAATCCATTATAATACACCCTTGCTGTCTCCATTCGAACAGTTTTTCACTCCTCTGAGTATCATACACTGTTTGCCGTTAATGATGTGCCTGTTGGTAAACTAAAGAAGTGTGGAACTGTTTTAGTTCAGTGAGAGCAAGATGACAACAGTATTTACACAAGGGCACTATGACGTGACACACATAACAACACAGTATTTACACAAGGGCACTATGACATGACACACATAACAAGTAATACATTCAACCACATCCAAGCAATGATAACTGGTATAAAAAATGCACAGTTGGGTAAAAGAATATTATGGTAAGTGATTTATAACTGAAACATTATAGAATGCAAATTAGCACTGAAACAGGATATAAAAGAAAAGTGAATAAATAATAAATTGAGGTAAATTATTGATGCAGAAGCTACTAATTAAAAATACTAAGCTACTAATTTAAAACACAGAAGATAATAAATCATCGGGGCGTAAAATTTGAGGTTGACGTATCAGAATGAAACCGATAAAACGTTAATGTCGTAATGCCGGTTGGAATAAATGATTTTGATGTCCCGTTAGTTCTGAAAAGGAGTGTTTGGAAGCGGCGTCCGGAAGGTTGAATTTTATATTCGTTGTGAAGAAAATGTTCTGAGTCTGATGCAATTTTGTAAGCTAGTTTTTCAACTTGCCGTGTGCCTTAAAGAGTTTTTTTCCAAAGACACTCCTGATAATTTGCAGGCTTGATTGATGATTTTGCACAGTTTGTTTTCATTTTGTAGTAAATTTTACCCAAACCAGGTTTGTATGTTAAAACAAAGAATGCCTTGAATAAACGTTTTGTACTATAAAACAAGTGTGACATTAACGAGTTGAGTTTCCGTAAAAAGTACATTGTTGACATTTGTTGTATATTCTGTCGGTGTTCGCAGTAAAACTGAGCTTTTCATCAATGATGGTGCCGAAATATTTGTACTCTGGGACAACTTCGATGCTGCAATTATGAATGAGAACAGGTCTATACGTAGGTTTCTTCATTCAAATGTCTATAGTAATTTCCTTTCTTTTCTTCGTATTAAGACCTAGGAAGTTCTCATGACGCCATATACAGAACAGTCCTAATGCTTGGCGGTAATGTGAATCATCGTTGTTACCTCCTAATCCAGCTAATTGGACATCATCAGCAAATTTCACAGTTGTTTCACATCACTTCTGCAGTAATTAGTATATAAAGTAAAAAGTATTGGAGAAAGCACATATCCTTGTGGGAGCACCTGTGTTTAGGATACGTGTTTTAGAGTGTGTCGAATTGACTCGCACATATTGTCGACGGTAAACTCTGGCTTCACCAAGTAGGACTGTGCTATGTTATTGAGACCAATTCTCTGCTTTCACTATCATTAAAACAAATTTAACTGACTATCTGTAACTGACTTCCTCAAACAGGACAAGACAAGTAGTTCTATGCACATACAACCGTTTTATTACAATGAATGCGATGTTTCGGTGTAGACACTCATACCGTTAACAAGCAAGTGATGTACAGAAATCTGAAGTAGGAAGGTTATGCTCATGTGGCTACTGGATGTTTACATAAGGTCAAATGATGCTGTTGATGGCTTCACAACAGATAACACTGACGTTTAAACATTTAGAAAAACTCAGATCATTGTAACACCTTTTAAATTAGCTTGTTTGTTACCGTTATCGCGACCAAAACCAAATGAAAACACAATAAATCTACTGGACTGAAATGGGTTCACTCTTTGAACACCAGTGTAACTAATGGAATATTTATCTTCGGTGCTGTTTATCATGATACTTTCTCGCCCTTTCGTGCTGATTAGATAATATTGGTTGGAGATACACCCGTGACATTATAGAAACATTAATCAACCCTTGTTGTTATATTAAATAGCTCATGGTACGATATCTCAGTGTACCTAGAGAATTTAGAAATGTGGAATACTTGTGCACATTTGAAAATATACTTACAGATAGGTATAGATCAAGTAAGTAACTCGTATACTTACTTACCTGATCTAAATGCATCAAAGCTTTATAGTCTTCATGGTACATGTCATATAGCCCTTTTCCAGTGACGAAAAACATATGATATATCTACAGTCATAATATTCACACTTTAGCCATAAAATTTATATCAGTACTTATATATAGGGGTTAAAGAAATGAAGCAAAATAGCAAATATACACTGGTCATTTTGTACGCATATTCTAAATATAAGCAGGTCATTTCTTAATGCTGTAGTGTTGGGAAATGTGGCAGGCCTTTATGACACACATACAATGTATTATCGAGTGGCTGAAATCGATATGCAGATGAAGCTACAAGAACCTTTAAAATAATTACTGATCTTTATCAGTGTTAAGACATACATGTGACTTGTGTGAATGTATGTATAGTTGCACCACCTGTAGGTTAGTTTGCCTTGAAACAAAATAATGATTGGTTCTTTGATTAATCATGTGGAGTGGAGTCTTTCGTTAAACATGAATAAATATCAGCTAGTTGTTTCAGAATGGCTGATATTTTATGAAATAGAGAAAGTATGCCAGCTAATCTTTAAACTGCAAATGGTTGTTGGCAAATAAATAGCTTCGATGTCTACCTGACATAACACGGGGTATTGAAATGGGGTTCTTGAACGTAGCGAACCCTGTGAACTAGTCTAAGCTAAGCATATCAAGAGGTTTCTATGTGTCATTTTAAACTATTTAAAGAATTGCTGACATCGTAGCAGGTAATCCTCAAACGTTCAACTAAGACCTTATCTTTCTACATGTAACTTGTACTCACGGTGTTTCTCACAGTGTTCGACTGTCACTATAGATTGATACTAATGTGTAAAACGCTTTACAATATCAAAGGAAAATTGAAGTGACACACATGAAGTTGTCTGTCTTTGAAGTTGATTATAAAATTACAGGTTTATTGTCGGGTGTCACAGTTTTTCCGACTTTTACTAACTCGGGTGATAAGTACCACATTCAAACACACTGTTCTGCGACCTGAGATCTGATTACAAGCATGCATGTGGAGATCAAGTCAGCATGCATGGCGACGGGAAAAATCTGATTAAGACCTTTCCCCTTCGCGACACATGTGCAAAACACAAGAAGTGAGATGCATGAGCTATTTTCTCTGAGATGTTAAAACACCATGTAGTGTAAACATTATAATACAACTTTGAGCCTCGTCATATAGCCGGACGGCTGAATTACCAATGTGATAAAAACATTGTAAATAAAGAGTCAGCACTATGAAAATAACCTTCTTTTTGTACAACACAATTTGAAAATAAGTTTTGCACCTGAAATATGTCCGTGAAACTAAAATAGTTACGACCGGCACTCTGGCTATTTGATGTCTGTCAGGCCTCACTGCTGCATTGTCTTAAAGAAAGGAGGTCTTTAGCTGTATGGCCTTTTACGGACATCAGATTGCATGTGTGAACATGTTGCACTATGTCAACATGTCCCCCAATACAGGACACATGAAGGATGTTGGTTCTGTTATCATCCACTAATGATACATCAGCTCCTTCCCTCACAAATCAAACGCTTTTCTCTGTCCCATATTTGCTGCCTTCATCACGGGCGTCCTCCCGTACTGACCCCTACTGTTGATGTCTGCAACCTTCTGTGAGAGGACATACTTCACCATGTCAACATGTCCTCCAATACAGGCCACATGAAGGATGTTGTTTCTGTTATCATCCACTAATGATACATCAGCTCCTTCACTCACAAGTACGTCAAACACTTCTCTGTGTCCCATGTTTGCAGCTACCATCACGGATGTACTCCCGTACTGACCACTACTGTTGATGTCTGCAACCTTCTGTGAGAGGACATACTTCACCTTGTCTTCATGTCCTCCAAGACATCCATATGGAGGATGTTGTCTCTGTTATCATCTACTAATGTTACATCAACTCCTTCTTTTCAAAATGTCAGTGAAACTACAATACTTAAGACCAGCAATGTTTCTATTTCTTCTGTGTTAGGCCTCACTGCTGTAATGTCTTGAAGAAACGAGGTCTTCAGCTATATGGCCATGCACACTTTTCACGTTGAAATCAACTAAAATTAGTGTTCCACCATGTCAACATGTCCTCCAATACAGGCCACATGAAGGATGTTCTCTCCGTCATCATCCACTAATGATACATCAGCTCCTTCTCTCACAAGAAAGTAAAACACTTTTCTGTGCCCCTTCAGTGCTGCCATCATCACGGGTGTCCTCCCGTACTGACCCCTACTGTTGATGTCTGCAACCTTCTGTGAGAGGACATACTTCACCATGTCAACATGTCCTCCAATACAGGCCACATGAAGGATGTTGTTTCTGTTATCATCCACTAATGATACATCAGCTCCTTCTCTCACAAGTAAGTCAAACACTTCTCTGTGTCCCATCTCTGCTGCCTTCATCACGGGTGTCCTCCGTACTGACCCCTACTGTTGATGTCTGCAACCTTCTGTGAGAGGACATACTTCACCATGTCAACATGTCCTCCAATACAGGCCACATGAAGGATGTTGTTTCTGTTATCATCCACTAATGATACATCAGCTCCTTCTCTCACAAGTAAGTCAAACACTTCTCTGTGTCCCATTTTTGCTGCCATCATCACGGGTGTCCTCCCGTACTGACCCCTACTGTTGATGTCTGCAACCTTCTGTGAGAGGACATACTTCACCATGTCAACATGTCCTCCAATACAGGCCACATGAAGGATGTTGTTTCTGTTATCATCCACTAATGATACATCAGCTCCTTCTCTCACAAGTAAGTCAAACACTTCTCTGTGTCCCATATTTGCTGCCATCATCACGGGTGTCCTCCCCGTACTGACCCTACTGTTGATGTCTGCAACCTTCTGTGAGAGGACATACTTCACCATGTCAACATGTCCTCCAATACAGGCCACATGAAGGATGTTGTTTCCGTTATCATCCACTAATGATACATCAGCTCCTTCTCTCACAAGAGTAAGTCAAACACTTCTCTGTGTCCCATATTTGCTGCCATCATCACGGGTGTCCTCCCGTACTGACCCCTACTGTTGATGTCTGCAACCTTCTGTGAGAGGACATACTTCACCATGTCAACATGTCCTCCAATACAGGCCACATGAAGGATGTTGTCTCCGTCATCATCCACTAATGATACATCAGCTCCTTCTCTCACAAGTAAGTCAAACACTTCTCTGTGTCCCATATTTGCTGCCTTCATCACGGGTGTCCTCCCGTACTGATCCCTACTGTTGATGTCTGCAACCTTCTGTGAGAGGACATACTTCACCATGTCAACATGTCCACCAATACAGGCCACATGAAGGATGTTGTTTCTGTTATCATCCACTAATGATACATCAGCTCCTTCTCTCACAAGTAAGTCAAACACTTCTCTGTGTCCCATTCTCTGCTGCCATCATCACGGGTGTCCTCCCGTACTGACCCCTACTGTTGATGTCTGCAACCTTCTGTGAGAGGACATACTTCACCATGTCAACATGTCCTCCAATACAGGCCACATGAAGGATGTTGTTTCTGTCATCATCCACTAATGATACATCAGCTCCTTCTCTCACAAGTAAGTCAAACACTTCTCTGTGTCCCATATTTGCTGCTGCCATCATCACGGGTGTCCTCCCGTACTGACCCCTACTGTTGATGTCTGCAACCTTCTGTGAGAGGACATACTTCACCATGTCAACATGTCCTCCAATACAGGCCACATGAAGGATGTTGTCTCTGTCATCATCCACTAATGATACATCAGCTCCTTCTCTCACAAGTAAGTCAAACACTTCTCTGTGTCCCATATTTGCTGCCATCATCACGGGTGTCCTCCCGTACTGACCCCTACTGTTGATGTCTGCAACCTTCTGTGAGAGGACATACTTCACCATGTCAACATGTCCTCCAATACAGGCCACATGAAGGATGTTGTTTCTGTTATCATCCACTAATGATACATCAGCTCCTTCTCTCACAAGTAAGTCAAACACTTCTCTGTGTCCCATCTCTGCTGCCATCATCACGGGTGTCCTCCCGTACTGACCCCTACTGTTGATGTCTGCAACCTTCTGTGAGAGGACATACTTCACCATGTCAACATGTCCTCCAATACAGGCCACATGAAGGATGTTGTTTCTGTTATCATCCACTAATGATACATCAGCTCCTTCTCTCACAAGTAAGTCAAACACTTCTCTGTGTCCCATCTCTGCTGCCATCATCACGGGTGTCCTCCCGTACTGACCCCTACTGTTGATGTCTGCAACCTTCTGTGAGAGGACATACTTCACCATGTCAACATGTCCTCCAATACAGGCCACATGAAGGATGTTGTTTCCGTCATCATCCACTAATGATACATCAGCTCCTTCTCTCACAAGTAAGTCAAACACTTCTCTGTGTCCCATCTTTGCTGCCATCATCACGGGTGTCCTCCCGTACTGACCCCTACTGTTGATGTCTGCAACCTTCTGTGAGAGGACATACTTCACCATGTCAACATGACCTCCAATACAGGCCACATGAAGGATGTTGTTTGTGTTATCGGCAAGAAGATGCAATGCAGAACCTTTACTCACAAGTATGTCTACCATTCTTCTGTGTCCGAATCGTGCTGCTATCATTGCAGGTGTTAGTCCGTCCTTCCCTCTACGGTTGACGTCTTCCAGATCCTTAGATAGGATGTGTCTAAGCCGGTCCAGGTCGCCCTTCTTGCAGGCAGTATGGATGTCTGTATCCACTCGTGGACCCGTCTGTGTCACTATAACACAATGATTTCAATGTCACAACTTGAAGGAACAGTAAATACCTTAACAAATACTCATTTACATTAATTTACTTCAGTTGAACCCATTCCCATCCTGTGTATGTGTTCCAAGTGAAGACATTCTTTGACGATGGAACTGACTGGAAATGCCTGGCATTCGAACTCCAACATTTGAGATCTTCAAGTGCCGATCATAGACAATATTCTTACTTCATTGACTAAACAGAAGAACTTATTTGTGTCTCTCGAGCACACATTACGTGAAAAGCTATTCGCTTTATAAGTCGGGTACACTTATTATGTTTTCAAATTATTCACAAGCTACAACATTCCTTCCATACAGTCTAATCTCCACTGCCACACATTGCATTGTCATACTAATATATCACGTAATACCATCACGAAGCAGTTGTAATCTCACTGTCCAGAATGTTCTCAGATTACACATACGAATCAACAATATATCCGTCACAACCAAGATGAATGCATTAACCACATAACCATACTACTGTGTCACACATTCACCCTATCAACGTCTAGATACAATCAAATATCTCCCAGTGTCTCCCAGATCTCGTCAGTATTATATGCACCATGCGTTCACAATACCACCTCGGCAGTGCAGTTAACAAACTGACCGTGTGGATGCGTAAGGCAGGACATGTCTGCTCTTTGACACAATAACCTGGTATCATCACTGGTTTTCAGTGATCCAGTGTGCACTTGTCACTGCCGTTTTACTTTTTATGCCCAGCTGAATGTTCAGATGATGGAGACTTGTGAATCCCTGTTTAAAATTTGAAGACCACATTGAGTTCAACGATACAGTTTTGGAAAATACACAACATCCTGTTTCATCATATTTCCTCAGACTTGAACAGTTTAAGTGTAAGTGCCAAACTGATTTTACAGCATGTATGGAGCTGCTGAAAACGAGTCTGGGGTGAAGATTTTGTCTGGCCGGATCTGATCTGCTGGTCATCTGCTATCCATTTGTCCTGAAAATTAACTTCCCTCATCAACCTTTACAGTTGGCATGTTTTTCAGTATTTTGCTGCAGTGTGTGTTGCCTTTTTTCGTAAACAGTCAGTGGATCAGATGACTGGTAGTGGGATATGGGATGCTGACAAAGGTGGGTGATGGGACTGGTTTGAGTTTGGGAACGGGGCCCTTTTGCTTTATAGCAAGGGGTTGTCTTATGGTTTTCTCCACCAGATTTTGGTATATCCTAAACAGACCCCTAAATACAGACAGCACAAGAAGACTCTCCAAGAAACCCACATTGATAGTGCAATAGACGACACTGCAATCAAAAAACCTGAACCCCCTTAAACTCCCTAACCTCCCACCCCAACTCCACCCATACCAATACGCCCACTCCCACCCCTATGCCAGAGCCATTGTCAAAATCCATAAAGATCCAGCCAAAGTCCCAGGGGCTTAGGTTTCTGCAAAACAGCCCAGCACCTTGTCAGACTACAAGCACCATTGGGAAAATCCCACATCAGCGATTCCAGTATCTTTATATCCACATAGTTCACCCTAAGACAATTGTGGAGACAAATACATGTGATCCACAGCCACCACAATACAGGAACACAAGACCTCTGTTGCTCAATCTGCCCATTCGAACATTTCATAAAGGAATCCTGACAACTATGTTTCCTGTCAACAAACCAGAATTGTCCACACCAATCATCAATCATTGGAGTAAGTGAATTTACTTTTACGCCGCCTTTAGCAATATTCCAACAAAATCATGTTGGGGGACACCACAAATGGGCGTCACGCATTGTACCCATATTGGGAATCGAACTCGGGTCGTTGGCGTGACGAGCGAACGCTTTCATCACTAGGCTTTAGGGGAAAAGAGAAAACATCAAGAAAGAATCGAAATCCAAAGAAAGAAGCCAGCCATTAGGCAGAGGCATCTACCTTCCCAGTATGTACTTCACTGTGTTCATATCATCTACCTTCCCAGTATGTACTCCAGTGTGATCATATCATCTACCTTCCCAGTGTGAACCCCACTGTGATCATATCATCTACCTTCCCAGTATGTACTCCACTGTGATCATATCATCTACCTCCCAGTGTGTACTCCGCTGTGATCATATCATTACCTGGAATATGTGCTAAAAGCGGCATATCATCTACCTTAAACTCCACTGTGATCATATCATCTACCTTCCCAGTGTGTACTCCACTGTGATCATATCATCTACCTTCCCAGTATGTACTCCACTGTGATCATATCATCTACCACTGAGCGCTTATTGATTGGATTATTGCTTAACTGAACCCCATTCAGTGTTAATCCTTATTATCTTTATTGGATTATTGCATGTTATTACATAGTTATCCTTGTACATTAATCCTATCTCACTGGCTTCGTGAATGTACAGTATTTTTGTACATTAATCCTCTCCCATTGACTTTATCATACTATTGTTACCTTGTACATTCTTTCGCCTGAGTTGTGTAAACATAAATCTCGACGCACTTACTCAGCATTCACCGGATGAAGGACAAAAACAGCTCTTGTCTTGTCTTGTGATAAAGAATGAAAAAGATGTTATCATGTATTAACGGCTTTTAAATGTTATACCTGGTGTAGGCAAACTCCATGCAGCCTCAGGATTCTGCTCATCACTACTGTTTCCCACACGCAGTAGTGCAATAGGACGGGCAACTTCTTCTGCAAAGCAAAGGATGAAATAGAAAAGCTCCCTATAAGGTGCAAGCATCTCAGTCACCCTTGCGCACATGTGCTCTCCGTTCATACAATGGTAATATTCAAAATGATAATAAACAAAATTAATGCCTCTAAAATGGATCACATGTTTCTTCCTCATTTGAAATACAATGTCATGGTCCATATGCCTTTTCCCCTATATCTCTCTTGTGTTTCAAAAGCTGTTGCAAATGCACAGGACTGCTCTTTGCTTATACAGTAGGATCTGACTGACATACTGTGATGTCACTCCCAGAACACGAGTATATTACGTATGGCATATCCGTGTGTATAGCGGCATAGTAATGGCATAGCACATTGTATTTTTCCATTGATGGTCGTTTGTGGGCAAGAAGACTGGTTATTAAAACTTGTTCTGTCACGCTGCGTTCTCTGGTTCTATTTCCCAGGTGACTGCAATGTTTGGAACCTGTCTGGGATTTGCCAGCCATTATCTTACCTTAATGTAAAATACTTTAATTTCATTGGTCAGTGACCCTTTAACAAGTTTCCGTGTCCCCCCTCCCAGGAGAGTGACAACTGGAAAAATATTACCTGCTGCCACGGTAACCGCCAAACTCTCCGCCGAGAAACTGTATCGCTAACAATCGTATGACGTCATAATATGACACATGCAGTGCCCGGAGTTCGAAAACCGTTCCATAAGCTGTTTTTGAGTTCACCATGTACACATTTAATTTACCGAATTTCATTGCATTATTTAAGCTATTTTATACATTGAATCCTTTGCACACTTAACTTAAACATAATTAACAATTTTAAACCTATCAGAATATGTTTCAATGACCTTAAAAATCCAGTCTAGAGGCAGACGCCATTTTGTTTACACGTGATATAGTCGGGAGCAATCTTATCGATCTTCAAAATTTTCAAAAAATATATATTTTGTACATTTAACATGGCGGTAGGATAAATACGTTGTGTACGTTGTAAGGCGTACATCAGACCGTATTACCCTAAAGAGCAGCATACTATTTATATTATATATTCAGTTTCACATAGAGCAGTTAACTAACCTCACACAAGCGCTTACCTCTCTGTTTTTGTCGTCCAAACGGGAAGAATCTCTTCAAACCTTCTTTTATCTTGACACCACGGTGAACTTCAGGCTTCTGATTTCTCCGAATAACTGAACTCCTGTTTGAGGATGCCAGACTGCTTCCCTCACTGACAAACCCGCTGTCCTCAGTAGCAAGAGATATCTGGTCGAAGGCCTCCAGATCCTCTATTCTCTGTTGGGTGTTAATAGAGCAAAATAAGGAGTAAGTAGAATGTACGCTGTAGCCGTATCACGAATGGTGTACAGTGTGATGTACACTCTGTGTTGCCGTGTAGCTTAAGCTATGTACATGCAACACAGAGGGTACCGTTCACCCCGAGTGATGAGGCTACAATGAATTTATCTTATGTCATGGCTACATTTTCGTCTATCTTAACGTAGGCACTAAACCTAATGTTAACAGAATGTTGTATAAGAAATACAGTTAGACAGTTCCAATTCATGATATTGATTTAATTCAGCTACACCCCGTTGAAAGAACGCCACCATTAACACATTTACTATAGGAGATAATATTTAACTGCAAAGGAAAATCACAGAACCATGTCTCTCAACGTTTGCACAGTATGACCTACGAAATCCTGATCAAAAGACTGATGGAGCAAAAAGAAGCGACAAAACCCATTCCACATCCACAAGAAATCTGTGTTAAAAGCAGAGTCGATTGTACAATGACTGTATCATGAATATGCATTTCAGCAGTAGTACAGCTGTACGATGTTGTTTGTAAACAAATGGAGTCCAATCAATATAGTGATTGTGGTCATGCGATACGATGACAGAGCATGTGTTTATGAATCACTACGAAATAGTGATGATACCAGGTGTTCGCAAAAAGGTGAGCGTATTCTGCCCCACCGGTGGCTCCCGTCATACACAAATGCAAAGTTTAGTCAATTGTTCACCTGAAATAATTCGGGTCAAAGTCAATATAAATAAGTCAAAATGTGGAATTGCACCGGACATCATTTTTGTCACTGATGCATCAAATTTCTAAATGTCCTCCACATGTCTACCATAAAACATTTTGAAATCTTTACAGAGGCCTTGGATGTTGTAACGTTGATCGAACAACTTCAAGTTCAAGAGTGGTATGACGCTCTTTGAAATCTTGGTGAAAAGTATTCGCAAAAGAAGAACACCACAGGCCAGAGCTGTTGGAATATTGCTCGATATAGCAGACTATTGGGGAGTTGAAATCATCCCTTTTGTCACACATCCTTTTGAAGAGTTTTTTGTCACACTGAATCTTTATGCATGGAACTAAATACGAATCAGTCGGGTGGTCCCACTTGTCTCCTTAATTTCAAGTTCAGGTGGGTAAATCAGTGGAAGGCAAATGGCTATTTGATGGTTATTGAACAATATTAAATCAGTTATGTACCTGAAGCTTAAATGACCTTGTTTTAATTTTTCCAGCATATGCAGAAATTCTGATTCATACGCCAGGACTGTAGCGCAATTGGTGCCCATGGGGATGCCTACTTCATGTCAAAATGTTTACCCCTAGATTTTACAAAGATGTTATCAATGAGAAAACCGAGCATTTCACATACACAGCAAAAATAAATTGGTTTCCGCAATGCGGAAACCTGATGGAAAGTGGACTGAAACTTAAGTTTCCACCTAGAATCCAGTGAGTTTCCGTTCTGTTACATTGAGTTTCCGCAATAACGGAAACTTACAATTACCCACTTTCTAAGGGTTTCCGCAAGGTTTCCGTTACCCGCACTCCAACAAGTTTCCGTTGAGTTTCAGTTACCAACAATCCGACATAGTTTCCGCATAGTTTCAGTTACCAACAATCCGACATAGTTTCCGCATAGTTTCAGTTACCGGTTTCAGTTTCAGGTTCACAGGTTTTCATGTGCGTTTGAAAGAGCCAAATTTAAACATTCTTCTTTATTCATATCATAAACTCTTCTTAAAAACAATATAAGCGATTGTTATTATCATGACGTTTACTTAAAAAACAACATAATATATAATAAGATTCATTGTTTTATTTTCTCAACATGAATATGAATTAGCATTTAAGGCAAATAAAGATCATACATATAACTCGTAATATAGCACTAAAGAACAGGGCAAAACATTTTGGCATAACTCAATCCAGTTTAAGAAATCATATATCATTTATAACAAAGTAGTAATATTTCATCAGCTAAACTCTCATTCACTTATTATCTAGCATTTTAGATATGAAATTTATTTCTAAATTCATGCTAATGGTGAAATATAACAATAACATACAACTTAACACAGTAATACAACATAGCTGCATAGGACATTTATTTGCACGCCTTGGCATTCAGCCACACACTCCATGTCAAAACTATCCCCAAACATCCACTATGATATACATCATGCAATAACACAACATACAGCTTGCAATACAAAAATAAAATAAAATAAAAATTACATTATGAAATTAAAAATAAATTCAATTAAATTGCAAGAGTTGGTCAGTTAGCCCACTTAGGGGCATCCTTGGCGGAGATCCGTCTGTTACTTTGGTTGGATGCCTCATCCTCGTCCTCATGTCGGCCTTGACGAGAGCAGTGGAGGTGTAGATTCTTTCCAAGTCCAGTGTCGTCGTGTATGCCCTAAGCTTGCTGGACTCCCAGACAAAGGGGACGGAAGCAGCTAATTGACGTCATCTTCGTCACTCACGACTGATGATGTCATGTCTATGGTGAGTGTTGTCGCTACCTTTTTCTTTCGTCTAGCTGGCCAATCGATAGATGCAAGTCTGTTGAGGCGCTGTGCAAGTTTCTGAAAATGGCAGGTAATAACGAATTACTAGGTTATTTTGATAAATTATACAAACATCAATCAACAAGAAACTGACAATGCCAAAGATGATTTAAAATGAGTAATCCAAAAGGAAGTTTGAATAAACGAGAACTAAAGTGAACAATCACACTTTGCACTGGTTTTCTCAAAACTCAAATTATGCAAGTCATCACACTTCATTGACCGAATGAAATATCTTATTTTCTAAAGAGGACACACAATCTATACAAAATTTGCTCTGGAGTTACATGCTTCCCAGACCAGAGGTAGTAATACGTTATATATATATATATGAACATTTATTGCATTTTCTATATAGTTATAATGGTACTAGTAATAGATTTTCATCAAGTTGCTATATTCAATCTCTTACAGTTCGTATTGTTGAGCCCATTTTTGGTGTCCCCCGCCGTGATGTTGCTGGAATATTGCTAAGAGCGGCGTAAAACTAAACTCAGTCAGTCACTCGTATTGTTGAAGGCACAAGTATATTCACCCAGTGTATATAGACGTGAATAATACAAGACATGAATGTTTACGGATATCGACGTCTTTATTATGTGAAAAAAACACGTTTCGGAGTGAATGCTTACACCTGACGAAGGGGTAAACAGTCACTCTGAAACATGTTTTCACATAATAAAGGAGTTGACATCAATAAGCCTTGTCTCTACACTATTAATTGGAAATTATTTACTATTTATAATGAAAGTCACTACAGATAGGTCAAAATTACCTTCACATGTTCCTGCTGACCATCCTTGGTCATCTATTATACAGTCTCCAGACTCATCATCAGCTTTGCTGAAAAAAATAAACAATAACACGTTACTTTTCTTTGCATTTCCCCATTCATTCATTCGAGTTTTAAAAAAACAATTGCAGCGAAATTTATACCAACAAGCAATCTACAAATTTATCACTTCAGGTTATGCAATCAGTAAGTGAACGGCCTGACATAAACATCCTGATGAATGAAGTTTAGTTATCTCATGTGACATAACCTTGGAGTAATTACGGTATTGTAAAATCAAGGGGTCAGTTTGATTGCAATTTCACACAGATGTGAAGTTAAGCTTTACTTGGTCCAATTTGAAATCATGATTAAGTTACCTGTTATTCAAATCCATTTGCAAATGTAACCTTAGTTTGGTTCATTTTGTGAAAATGTATCTAGGGAAGCATAATGATAAAATATTCAAAGTGAAATTATGTCTATGTTTCGTAGTACCATAAACACATACCTTCAGTATGGTCATTCTTTTCCTCCAGGAGTAGTGGTGACACATGTTTCCTCACAACAGCCTAAATGAACAAAACAAATCCATTAATATTTAATCTATTTGCTATATTTTTCAAAATTGTAGTATATTTTCGATAGACTTATTTTACTTCACCAACCTTTGAAAATAGTTCGAGCAAAACTGTTTATGCAGTCATGGACTTAAGTATACGTCAGTTGGCAAAATTCTCATAGACTTGCAGGCTGTTTTAGTGTAGCTGTGTAATTTTCAATAATTCAGTTTTCCATATTTGGTTTTCAAATTGTGCAGGTTGTTAGGAAATCATCTTGGTAACAGATACATAATTTCCTTCAAGTATTTTCCGCATTGTAGTTACATGAGCAACATATATACAACATTGCGTATTCTTTCCCCATAGACCGCCATGTTAAAAATTGCCAAAACCACGACATGCATCAGTGTGATCATTCTTGAAATACTGAATTGAAAATAAAACAGTAATTATGTCTTTGTAGCTGGGATGATTCATGACCCATGTGCAAATATGAACAATATCAAATGGATATTAAATAAATTCAACAATTTTTTCTAGCTGCACCAAATTAACATGTAAGCCTATGGAAATAATGCATAGTTACGAATACCTATGGCCAGTGACTGTAATTCGATAGATTAGCTTGTTTACTAATCCGGATTTCTGTACGTAACGTAAATAATTCATTAAACGTTATTTGACAACAAAATAAATTGGTCTTACCTGACAGGGTCGTGGTATTGCGAGTTTCTGCAGCCATTTCCATCTTTCTTTTCCAGGTCGCGAATTCTCTCTTCAAGCGCTTTGAGGGAAACTGAGGCGGCTATGAAAATGGCGTCTCGCAAAGACTCACGGGAAAAACACTTTGTTGTTTGTTTTTTTAATCTAAATCTAACATTACAGTTTGACCATGTCTTTCCGCGTTATACTACAAAATAAACATACACTATACACATAAAATGTCAGCTGTGTGTTTTTATAATGATTTAGGTAGTCTCGGTGGACGTGATCCGGTCGCCATTTTTTTTATTTGTTTACATGGCCGACATCAAAGGGGACCGTGAAAGGTGGAAATGAGCAGATTGAATGTGAGTACCC